AAGCACTGTGTAGGAAAGTACGATACACATGGTATCGGTATTGAGCTGTAACATTTTTGACGATTTGAGTGACCAGAGCTTTTTAAAAAATTTGAAAATTAGTGGTTTTGAGAGATAAAATTGCGTAAAAATTCTTAAGCCAAAAAGGTCCGAGCCATCACAAGCCGGTCTTGCACGTCACTGTCATCAAAAGGAAAGAAAGAAGGAAAGCTGTCGAAGTTACTGTTACGATGGAAAAACCTTATTTTTATAACGGTTCCACTGTTTATTGCATTCTCTTAGAGTACTGGAACTTTGCCAGGAGGCAGGTTCATGCTGTTTTTGCCTTGTTGCTTGAAAAATTGTGGGAAAGTGAGTGATGAGATTTGTAGAGCATATTTTTTGAAAATTAAATTAATGTTCTGTTTTTCCAGAGCTCTTCGACTTTTTAGTGGTCCCATGAGCATTATTTTCTTACGCGTAATTGAGACGGTATTTTTTACGTTGCTTTAATTTTTACTGTTTTTGAAGGTTAATTTGCACAGCTGTATGAAAATTACTTCTCTTCTATCCAAGGCGTGTTTTTTCTGACCCTCAGGTATTTAAAAGATTCGGAGTATGACAGTCGATAAGCATTTCATATTTTTGTCAAATTGTAAATATGTGTTATTTTTGTTTGGGAGGTTAGGTCTATGTATGTTGCATTTTTTCCAGTATTGAAGCTAGGAGTTGGGGTATTTATCTTCGACAAAGTTTTTAGTTTTCCATGGTTATCGCTTTGCACATTGGGTAACAGTTAATGCACAGTAATCTGATTACAATTTTTCAGTGACGTACAAGAATGAGCAGTTTTGTGGAAGATGCTAAACGGCTTTTTGGGACCTCAAATTTATATCAGATACTTCAACTAAACTCGAAGCCAGTCGACAAGTACAACTCTAAACAGAGTATGGTTTTTCTAAAGAAACAAATTTCCTTTTTTTTTGTTCATTGATTTCTCACTGTTTTCTGGACACCACTGTTGTATTTTGAATATTCGTAAATTAAGTGTGATTGGCGGCTGGTAAAAGAAATTTAGCTTCTTGTTACTAAGTTGGCTTATACTTTAGATTTCGTTGTTTCAGTATTTTTTCCCTTTAGCATACCAATTCATTTCTTTCAGTCAAGAGAGCTTATCTTGAGCAGTCCTTAAAATATCATCCTGATAGAGCGGCAGAGGAAGAGAAAGAGAGAAGAACAGAACAGTTTCAGATCCTTTCTAGAGCGTATGCGGTACTTATAGATGATGAGAAACGAAAAGTTTATGATGAAACTGGTATTATTTTGAAAGCATTTGCAAAGTCTGTACAGGAAAAAACGGTTTCTAAATAGTGTGTTAGCGGTGGGATAATATGAATTTAAAAATTCAGGGATTTCTCAACTGAAGGTCAAGATCTGCATTGTGGTTACACATTGGTTTAGGAGTCATTGATGAGGACGAAGTCAGCGATGAATGGGACTGGGAGGTTTACTGGAGAAGATTATTTAGAAAAGTGACATTGGAGGAACTGCAATTGTTCTGCAAACAATACAGAGGTAAATCTAGCCCTTTGTGCTATTTTACTATTTTTTAGATGAAGGTCTCATCTTAAAGCACAATTTTATTTTATAAAGTAAGCTAGCTGATATCTTTTTTCCGCGGCGGTTTATTACATTGAGGTCTTCCGCACTTTGTATTCGTCCTGCGAATAGTATTCTTTTTAGAGAGTGGAGAAGAAAAAAAGGATTTAAAGGCTTCTTATTTGAAAAACAAAGGTGATATGAGTAAAATTATGGATGAGGTCCTTGGAGTTACTTACGAAGATGAAGATCGTTTGAGGAACATGATTAATGAAATGATAGAAAGTGGAGAGCTTAAATCTATGCCAAAATTCGTCAGTGAGTCCAAAAGTAAAAGAAATCGGCGTCGAAAGGCGGCGGAACGAGAAGCTAAGGTCTTTTTTAAACTTTTTTCTGTTCATTTTTTGGGCTGTCAACCTATGCGTTTTTGCAGGAAGCGCAAGAAGCACTTCGTGAGATTGAGACGAAAGAAGGAACTTCAGGTCTTTTTGCTCTCATCCAGGCGCGTCAACAAAAACGCGAAGGTGCTTCATTTGATGCGTTTTGTGATTCTTTGGCGGAAAAGTATGGGAAAGGAAAAGCAAAAAGGAAAAAGTTGATTAGAAGTTAAGCTTTTAAGCGGAAACATAGACTTTGTAAGTATTGATGTAGTCGGTTTCCTTTTGAAAAACCGTGCTGTTCGCTTCTTTTCCATGGAATCTCGTTTCTTTTTGAAAGTGGTTTTTTGATTGGTCTTTTTTATTATATTAACTCTGGCATTCAGTTAAACCCGTCTTGTGCTACTGATACTCAGGGTTAAACTCATTTCAGTCGTTTATGAACTAATCACAGTCTGATTAAGAGCGTGATGGTTTTTTTTTTGCTTTCAAGGATTTCCTTCACTGAATTGTTGTAGCTACAGACTTAGTCTTGTATTTTTTCGACTTGAGATTGACTGGTGTCAATGGAATATCAGAATGAATGCAAGGACAAGACCTGCGGGGAAATAGAACATCACCTCTGTAAACCTTAGGTATCCTTCAAATAACGCTTTCACTCTCACTACAGAAAAAGGCCAAGCAGAACGACATGCCCCCGTGTGCAATACCAACATTTGAAAAACATACATAGAGAACTGGTGGTAGCAGTAAGCTGTTGTAAATGGCTTATGAATGCTGATCCTTCTATTTCTTTTAATTCTGGCACGTTGCGCACTGTCAGTTATAGATCTACTGCTACTTTAATTTTTCTTGTTTACTAATTTATTGTATTTTGCACATTTTGCTCTGATTGACCATCCATGAAATGTTCAAGGCATCTGTTTAGGAGCTAGCCGCATAACTTCATGGAACTTTTTTTTTTTTACAGACATCTCGTTGCCGTAACTGTTCCTGATTTCTGTCCGGGAATTCATCTCACGTTGCTGGCACTCGCAATTAGATTCTCCTCGACCAGCTGCAGACTTCTTGTGCTCCAAGCAACTTCTGCTTCTAAAAAATGATGACACTTTAATCACACCTCAGCTTGAGGGAGTATTGAAAACAAGTATTTTGTATGGTGCAGTTCCAGACCAGAAATCTGCTGTTACGTTTGCCTGACGTGACTGGCGTGTTTGGTCACTGCCCTTCTCTTTAAGAAATTAGATTAATAGCGAAATTTGATTTGCGGGCGATCTAATTTATATGAGTTTAAAAACAGTGGCCAGACACGTTAGGCAGATGTAAAAATAAATTTCTTATCTGGAACTGCGCTATATATATATTTTTTTCAATACTTGCTACAGTCGAAGTGTGGTTAAAGTGTCATTGTTTTCTGGAATTAGAGATTCCTTAGAGCACAAGAGGTTCTGTAACTGGCCGAGGAGGTTATGGTCGCGAGTGCCGGCAACATAAAATGAATTCTTTGAACAGGTACGGCAACGAGATGTTTATAAAAAACAGTTCTGTAACGTTGTGTGGTTGACTTCTAACCGGAAAAGATACGGAGGTTGTTTCGTGAAGGGTCGCTCAGAGTAAGAGGATGTGAAAGATACAATGAATTAGCAAGTAAAGGAAATCAAAGTAGCTTATGTAGTTATAAGTTTTAATGCACGTTAGACTGAAACCAAAAAGACCAAGTGTTAGTATCTGCAAGTCATTTGCAACAGTCTAATATGTTACCACCAGTGTTTCAAGTGCGTTTATTAAATACTGGTATTCCACATGGGAGTGTGTCGTTTTCCTTAATTTTTTGTCGAGAAGAGTGAAATTGTTATTTGAAGGGTCTTCAAAATTTGTAGAGGTGGTATCGTGTTTCTTTGTAGGTCTTGTCTCTGTATTCGTTCCGATATAACGGTGGGATAATTTCTAGTTTGTAGTTTTTTCTTGATCTTTGTGTTATGTTTTATTTTCAATTCTTACGTCTAACAAATCTAACTTCAAAAGACCTGTATAATAAAGCGATATGAAAATTGGAAGTTTTTAAGCACAGATGAAATCGATGGGAACACTTTTTTCTCTTTCTGCGTTTCTGTCACTGATGATTAATGATGACTTAGTAACTTCTGAAGCGTATCACGATTACTTTTCTATATGTTTTTCAAAGGAGCAATTTTTTGTAGGATAGAATTGTGATCGTGGAGTTCGAGCGCATGTGTGTAATATAAGAATTCATCGGTAGGTAAAATAAACAAGATGAGGAAAGTACAGGTCTTTCCAGTTTTAAAATTCCTTACTTTAACGGGACTGTTACGGTTGATTATTAGCAGTTCTTGAAAGGACCTACAGCTAACTTTGTTTGCAGATACCGGTTTAGGATTTCTCGTCAATTAATGAGTCGGAATCTCTCATCATTACAGCGGTGTTTGACGCTCTTGAACAAGTTGGGAATTGTAGTTTGAACCAAATTCAGGAGTTTTCAAGAAGCAGTCTTTGGCAGTGGTTTAGAACCACCGTGCATTTTTGAATTCCAATCGCTTTAATGTTACAGAGCAGAAATTCACTGCCAAAGCCCATCGTAAAATGGTTCTCAAGTCGCTAACATTTTTGAAGAAATGTTGAATTTGTGACTGAAGCAGGATGTGAAAAATTTTAAAAATAGTCTTTTTGACTGTGTTGTCGTCTTAAATACTCGGGCATAATTTAATTCAACGAAGTTTGGAAAGCTCCAAACATGAATCATTGTGTTGAAGAAAGCTGAAACAGTTTTTGCGTAATTTAGTTTTATATTTCATTTATTTTTCGTGTTTTCTCGTTTCTTTTTAAACATTTTCCACTTTTTATTTCGGATTCTCTCTCAATAAATTTTCGAGTGTTGTAATATGAACTGGTAGTTTATTACCGGTGTTCAAGTAGATCCGATGTTTTTTTTAAAGTGGTCTCTCCTATTTCTCAGTTACTTCCGTTCCCAAAGCTCACAGCTGATGTCTACTTCAACCGCCATATTTTCAAGAATGAAAGGATTTTTCCTCAAAATACTGCTGCACTGATGGAATTACAGACTTTGACTTTGGACGTTTGTAAGGGATTTGAGGGCTTGCAGCGCTATGTTACGTTAAAATGAAGTTAAAAATTGACGTCTTCACGTTTGCCATATACTGGAGAGAAGCTGGTCTCTGAAATGGATATTGCCAGTATACAAAGGGAACACTAATTAGTTTGAAAATGATGCTGTCGTGTCTCGTATATTTTTGTGGTGAAGTGACAGGTATGTGAGTGATAGTAGATATCAACATAATCAACTGGAAGGTACTCAAGACAGAACAGAGCTCGCTGTGACATCCGAACAGGCTCAGGAGTTTAAAAAAGCAATTTTTATGCGACTAGCCGCGATCTGAAAAAGACGGAAAATTCTTATCCTGTTGTCAACTGACCTCCAGAAAAATTTACCGGTCAATAGTCCTCTGTTTTAACGTCTGACACTCAATTCAAATTTGAAATTTTCGTTTTTGGTATTTGAATTTCACTTATTTTGTTCGTTCACTTTATCTGTCAGTTGCGATCTTCTTCGGTCTCCAGAAAAG